AGAAACAAAGATCTGAGTATCACATGTTCTCACTCATATAGTGGACCTTGAACATCCAACGTAATACTATAAGAAAATGACTGACAGTGGTGGGAAACTATGGGGGGGAGGGGAAGGGAGATGTGATTAATGGTAGTAAATATCTATCTGGGGATGGGGAGACATCTCTTATCAACAGGGTGCCTGAATGAAGCATACCTAACTATTAACCGTACCCCACAATATCATAATAAAAAATATTGATTAAAAACAAAACAAAACATTTTGCTAAATATTGGGTCCGTTCTCTCCTAATTCTAATCTGTGATTATGAAATCACTAAAATAACAATATAAATGACCTTACCTCAGCTATACAACAAATTGACCCCAAGGCTTCTCCACGAAAACCATAAGTTGTCAAATTTTCAAGATCTTCATGACTATTTATTTTTGAGGTGTAGTACTTCACTGCCATTACAGGTGCATCAACAGCCTTGATACCCTCACCATTATCTCGTACCTCAATTTTATCAAATCCATAGTTCTCCTATAAAATGTAAAACACACTTTTAGTATACGAAAGTATTAAACTGTGATAGAAAGAAACATAAGTGAAACAATTCTGACATTTATACACCTTTCATTATGGAAATAAGAGTTTACATTCTTTAGCTGTACTGATTCCTAGTTATATGCAGTGAGCAAGTCTCTTGTTTTCTCTGGACTCAGATTCAACTGAACAATAAATAGGTCAGTCTGATCTTTAAAGTTTATTTTCACTGTTTCACTATCATGGATGTTTATGATAATTTATGTCTGAACTTGACTAAAAGTAATTGCTCTGAATTATATACACCAGTTATATATATAACCCGCAAATAAAACAAAACTCCATCATCAACAAAGCAACACCTGTTCTACCCACCAAGTCTAGCAATTATCATATTCAACCTGATTTTTAATATTTTCTCTCTAGTTGCTCACATAAAAAACTAAATATTTACTACATTATAACTTGCTAAATTTCTTTCCGCAAACAGTCACCTAACAGGAAACTGTTGAGAAAACACAACTGACTTGTTAAACTCTAAGTTTTTAATTTGAAAAATCAAGAAAATTTCTTTAAAATCTCAATTCACAGCTTAATTTTTTATTCTAATACTAAAAATTTGCATACATAATAAAAACAAAATCGAAATTCTTATAGTAATCACACTTTCTATGAATACCATAGCCAACTTCTATCATAAAAGCTTCATTCTACCAAGTTTTATGTGTATGGCTATAAATTCAAGTTGTAAAGCGAAAAAAACAAATATTCCTACAATCATGATGACTCTAGCATTTAAAATAATACATCTTTTTATAATAACCTAAAATTGCATAATAAATGTCAGTATTTTTTAGATAAATTAGATCTACAAGGCACTGGAGGGTAGCACCTAAGATTTTGTTCCTCGTATCCCTCAATCAAAAATTACGTTGACATTCTGAGAACAGTCTGCTTCATTTTATAACTATAGAAATGCAAACCTTGCAACATAAACAAGAATTCCAGGTATCTCAGTAAAATAAGAATACAAAGATCTATATAAATGTTTAAAATAATATTATCATGTTTAATTAACTAATTATGAAAACATACCTAGTTAGGACAGCTATTATTATGGCACAAAACCATAATAAAACAATTATTATGTAGAGCAACACATTTGAGTTGTATACTTTAAAATACTACAAAGCAGGTACTGGTAAATGTCAAGAGACTAAAATTTACAGCCAGATTAAAATGTTTAATTTAGTTTTATAAGAGGACTTCTATTGGCTCTGTAACACAACGTTTTTCTTCCAGAAACACTTAAGAACAAAATGTTTGCCTAAGTTTCTTTTTTTTGGGGGGGGGGTATACATTTAAAAATTTTTTTTTAATTTTAAAGAATGTGAGGCTAGGTATACAAATGTTCATTATGTAGGTACCCTTGTCAATGAGGTGTGCGTCCCCCTTCCCCAGGCAGATTCCCACTACTGTCAATCCCACTTCCCCGCCCCTCTCCCGGCAGTTTCCCACTACCAATCATTTCTTATAATATTACGATAATTGTTCACTCCACTTATGAGTGAGAATGTGTCTAAGATTCTTAAGTGAAATCTGTGAGCTATAACTATCTAATCCTACTTAATTATAACAATTTTACTCTAATCAAACTCAACTGACTCTGTGAAACGCCTAGGAAAAACAAACTTTCTTAGGTTTAATTTAATATACTGTTTATAAAGCTTTGAGTATCATTATTTAAGAACCAAACATAGATATATTTTTGATATAGAAGAGTGGTTGCCAAAGTATGTTGTTCCCTGATCTAGCAGTATCAACTAGAAACTTAACTAGAAATGCAAATCTGAAGTTTCAGGAAAAGGGCCCAGTAACTTTTAACAAACACACTAAGGTATTCTGATGCACCCAAACACAGTGAGAACCACTAGCATAGAGGAAAGATCTTGAATGGGTTTTAGAGTCAGAAAGATCTGGATTCTAATTCCAGCTCCACTACTTACTAATTTTGTGACTTTCGTCAAGTTCTCAGAACACTATATAAAATGGATATAGTAGTAGTTAATTCACAGAGTTTTATAAGAAGTGATCAGAATTTTATTATTATATAAATAGATATATATAGTATATCTATGCCATAGGATCTTAACTGATAGGTAAGACAAGGTTAGGTCCCTTTACTGTAAAGATACTCCTATCAGCATTATTTCTAGTTCCATAATACTAAAAATAATGAGTTGGCTCTGTAGTATTATTTCTCTATAATAACAATAATTACTAATATAATTTCAGATTCTAGGTGGGGTCCTGAGAATTTGCATTTCTGGTAAGTTTCTACTTGAAGCTGATGACACTAGGTCTCAGAACCACTTTTAAAAATCTTTAAAATAGTCCCTTTCATTTGATATATGATTTTATTCAAAGCATATCTTCAAGTACTATAGTATTCTCTTTAGAAGAGGAATTTTAAAGTCTTATGTAAATGTCCTTGTTCTTCTTTTCAATTGCAATATCAAGTTTTCTATTATATTGTGGAAACCAAGAAATGTCAGACATTACGGCTTCAATTTCACACCTTTCATAGTACTCACTCTGTTATGCAGGACATAAAATGAATAAAATATAGACCTTACTCTATGAGCTCGCAATTTAGAAAAGGAGAAAGAGACCTGCAAACTAATTGCAATAATCATAGTGAATATTATAACTCAAAAGATTTAATATACAGCACTTAAAATTAAAAGTGTGAAAACTATGAAGTAACAAGGGAACAAAGAAACATCAGACTCTTTGCATGGGTGAGTAAATGGAATGGAGAACAGAGTGAGTGCCATGAACAGTGTGAAATTGAAGCTGACTTCTAGTGTGCTGTCTTGATTTTTGCAATAAACTAAACTTAGATAATATTAAAAAAACTTTAAAATAGAGTATTTTTTAAATGTTTATTCTTACATTCAAATTTATTCACCTTCCTAGTATGTACTAAGTATGGAGGACACAAAATGAATAAAATATAGACCTTACTCTATGAGCTCATAATTTAGAAAAGGAGGAACAGATATGCAAACGAATTACAGTAAATCATAGTGAATGCGGTAAAGCATACTAACTCAAAAGATTTAATATGCAGCACTTAAAATTAAAAATGTGAAAACTACGAAGTAGCAAGGGAAATGGTTTTGAAATAAGATTAGGTGGAAAAGAGTAAATGTACAGGGGAATATTAAAACAAATTAATATGAATAACCAGGATAAATATTTGTAAAAATACAGACAAGCCGGGCTCGGTGGCTCAGCCTATAATCCCACGTCTATGGGAAGCTGAGGTGAGTGGATTGCCTGAGCCCGCGGGTTCAAGACCCGCCTGGGCAGCTCATGCCTATAAATCCGGCTACTCGGAAGGCTGAGGTGGAAGGATTGCCAGAGCCCAGCAGGTGAGGCTGCGGTGGCCGGGAGCGGCCACTGCACTCCAACTTGGGCGACCGAGTGAGACTCCAACTCAAAACAAAAAAAAAAAGAAAAAAGAAAATACAGACAAACTGATGTTTTAGACGGTGAAGTCCTAAAAAACAGTTTTCTTTTATAACTTTAAATTTATTGTAATGTTGCTTTAAATTAAAATTTATTTTTGGCTGGGTGCAGTGGCTCAAGCCTGTAATCCCAGCACTTTGGGAGGCTGAGGTGAGGGAACTGCCTGAGTCCATGGGTTCAAGAACAGCCTGGGCAACATGGTGAGACCTCATCTCTACAATAAATAAAAAATTAGCCGGGCATGGTAGCACATGCCTACAGGTCCAGCTACTTGGAAGGCTGAGGTGGAAGGACTGCCTGAGCCCAGCAGGTTGATGCTGGAGTGGTCATGAGCATGCCACTGCACTCAAGCCTGGACGACAGAGTAATAATCAACTCAAAAAAAATTTTTTTTCCAAGAATTTATTCTTAAGACAAGGGGGTCTAATGTCCTAAGAATAATTTACTGGTACACAGTAAGAAAATAAAATCGCTTTAAGGAGAAAACTTTAAAAAACAGTACTCTTATTGCATTGAAAATACTTGGTTTCTCAAGGACACTCACCAATTTAACATCTATGCTTGTGGCACCAGCATCCAAAGAGTTTTCAATGAGCTCTTTTACAACACTGACCACTGATGTGATATTCTGAGAACTTGAAAGGCAGCGAACGGTTGCTGCAGGCAACTGTTTCATTCTTGCTTTTAGCAGAACAACTAAAAGATAAAAATGCCAGTTGTAAAGTAAGAATTGTTAAGTAAACATTCCTGACCAACAAGAGGGATAGCAATAATAATGACAAAAGAACAACAGCTCATATTCGTTGAGCCTTATGGTATACCAGGCTCTGTTGTTAGCATATACAATATTAAATCATTCATTCCTTACCAATACTCTTTGAAACAGGTGCCACTGTCACCTCAATTTTATGAGACTACTGTGGCATAGATATGTTAGGAAACTTGTGCAAGGTCATCTGTTACTAAAAGTCAGAGTTAAGACTTACATTCAGGCAAGTCATTCAACACTTCCTCTATTGGTAAATCTTCTAATTACCTCTTTTGAATAAAAATGACCAAAAATGAGTTTAACATTCCACAATAACTTAAGAAGGAGAAAATTGTTTTTTTCCCCCACTTCTCTCTGGATTTTTGTGTGACTTTAATTGTTATCTACAATACTGACTTTTTTCCTAAACTCTAATCCTTTTATTTCCAACTGCCTGCTGAAATCACTAGCTCAAACCGAGGTGTTAACAGCTAGTTCCCCCAACTCTACCATGTTCCTATCAGAATAATCCACTCACATCAACCCAAATCTAATCAACTCTTATACACCATCTATTCTTTTCTCAGGTTCTTTTTGTTTTTTAAGTTGGAAGCTTACTTTGTTGCCCAGGCCAGAGTGCAATAGCACAATTAGGGTTTACTGCAGCCTCAACCTCCTAGGCTCAAGTGATACTCTTACCTCAGCCTCTCCAGTAGCTTAGACTACAGGTGCATGCCACCCATGCCCGGCTAGTTGTTTTTTTTTTTTTACTTTTTTGGAGAGACAAGGTCTTGCTATGTTGCCCAGGCTGGTCTTGAATTCCTAGATTCAAGCAAACCTCCTGCTTTGGCCTCCTAAAGTGCTGAGATTATAGACATGAGCCACTGCACCCAGCCTAGTTTCTTCTTTTTATCCTTCCTCCATTAATAGTTCAAGCTCCCAACATTATACGATATAATTTCCTAATCAGCCTCGAGTACTCTTGACCCTTGGTCACTCAGTTTATAATGCCCATGAATTAAAATGCTGATGATTACAACAGGAACAAGCAGTCACTATTTATTAAATATCTAGTATGCCAGACACTGTGCTTTATATGTGGGACTGCATTTAAACCTCTAAGCCATAAAAAGTAGGTACCATGTATAAAAATTACAATAACTATTATCATGACTATTTTAAGAGGGCAAAAAACCCCAAGGGATTAAGTAACTGGGCCTAGGTACTTATCATTAGAGATTTTATCTTAAATGTATTTCCTTAAATGTATGAGCCAACTATGTCTCAGTCCAAATGCATTATAGTATAGATCACTGAAAACACACAGGCATTGGAATCCTCAAGACAAGCATGTTCTAAAAAGATTTCTTAAACACATTTAGTTGGTAAATTATACTATGGTAATAACTGAAAAGTGACAAGAACAACTGTGCTATAATGAATGTAATGTATGACCTCGTTAGCTGGGAAAATTCAGGTAGTGCTATACCTTGGGAAGTAGATAATGACAGTCAGTCACATGTCATATTGACAGTCTCACTTAAATATCATGAGTCATCCATACATTTTGATGAATTGCAATGTCATTTCAATCACTGAGCTCCTCTGGAGTTAGAATATCTAGACTGCTAATTGGAACTAGTCTGACACCAGGCACTTCAGATAACTAGCCCATACATAATTCTGCCTAAAATTCATTTTAATCATGTGGTTCTCCCAAAGTCAATAAGATAAAGCTCAGATCTCTAGGTTGGCATTCAAGGTCCTTTACAGGCTGATCCAACCTGTAGATCCAAAGTCTCTCTGCTGGTAACTGCTTTAACTATGGAAATCCTATCTTTAACAAACACCCACCCAAAATCTCATATGGAAATTCTATATGTAAAACATGCAGGTAGGGGGTTTTGCATTTGCCTTAATGCCTAGAAAATATGATAGGAAAATAAACACTAGCTTGACAACATGCAATTCCTCTACACAGTCAAAATTTTCTTGGACAAAATATAGGGTGGAGGGGAGAAACCTAGGTATTTCCTTTATTTATCATGACTAGTCACAAGCTTACATGATGATTTAATCCTAAAAAATCTAGGTCCAAACAAAATAGCAATGACAGAAACAAAACAAAAAGGTGTCACTTTAGGATTCTTTCTCAGGCAACGTAAGACAAAGTCATGTAAAGTAAGGTTCAATAACTGTGTAGAAAATGGAGTACAGGCATTTTACAACAACAAAGGAACTTAAAGAACACATACCTGGGAAAAGGCCAACACTGAGTTCTGAGGGTGTTAAGTGGTCACAGTTCATAAATACAGTATAACTATATTTTGCTATACAAAGGGAAAAGCTGATCAACACAGCAAAAGCATATAACAGACCAGTTTATAAACTAGGTCTTGGGGTTCATCTTATTACACATAAGCTGAAGTAAATCACTCAACTCCCTCTGTAAAATCAATTCATCATCTGTAAAAATGGGGTTAATATCTCACTGGTTTACTATCAGGATCAAATAATACAGTGTATGCGAACTGCTGTTCTATAAATGGTAAGGCCTTATTTTATTTTTTGTACAGTATTATGATGAGAGATCATTATGTAAAAGAATATTGATAATTCTTTTTCAATACAACAATTGCCCTCTAGTTCTCAAGAGAGTAGCTGTGAATAACTACCTCTCAATGGTCTTTGTAGTTCTCAAGGGCTGGTAGGCGTTTCCATTCCCAGTCAGTCAGGGAAAAAGTGGGCAGTAGGCTACTGTGCTGTCACAACATTCACACAAATCAGTGCTGTCACAAGCAAAAGGCACCTCTGTGCTCTTCCAAAGCTTCAGAATGGTCTCAGTTCACAGGGATAGATCTGCACTGCCCAATATGGCAGCCACTAGTCACATGTAGTTACCGAGCACTTGAAAGGTAGGCAGTCCAAATTGAGATGAGCTAATATAGATTTCAAGTTCAGCATAAAAAAAATATAAAATCTCATTAACTTTTACAATGGTTATAGGATAAAATGATATTTGATATTTTGAATGCATCATGGTACATAAAGCATATTATTAAAACTAACTTTGCTTTTTTTCACCCACCCATTCATCCAGCCACCCACTGATCCATCCACTAATCCATCCACCCACTCATCCAACCATCTATCCACTTTTTTTTTTAACCTCTCTTAACTAGGAAACTTACTATGATATATGTGGCTTACATTATGGTTCTACTGAACAGTGCTGAATGAAGTAGTGGTTAAGAGGGCAGGCTCTGGCATCATAGTACTTCAGTTTTATACTAGTTCTTACACTAATAGCTATATAATGCTGAGGAAATTAAACTCTCTAAAACTCAGTCACCCAATCTATGAAATGGGGATAATAATGAAATCATATGGTTGGGAATTTTGGGGGGACACAATCATTCAGACCATAGCAGTTAGGAGAGAAGCATGACATGACAGTGAAGGAAGAATAGTATGGGGAGAGATGGATGCAGACATCTTAAGAAACCAGAGGATACAGTGGAGAGTGGGGTAGGTAAGGTGTGATAGCTCATGCTATGAATTGCTATGATCTCAGTAAACTACTAGGATAAAGAATATTGGAAGGAAATTAAGAGATTCTTGGGGATCTAAAACCAAGGTAGAAGATTTCTTGAACCTAAGTCTAATGGGTTAGCCCTTTTGGAGGTAGGGGTTGGAGATGGGGAGAGGGGTGTTCATTTAGAGCACTGAATTTCCTCAGTATTATGTAGCTATTAATGTCAGAGCCAGGATAAAACCAAAGTACAGTAGTATGATTTCAGAGCCTGCCTTTCAACCACTGTTCTATCCAGCACTGTCCAACAGAACTATAATGTAAGTCACACATACCATTTTAAGTTTCTAGTAGTCACATTAAAAAAGATTTAAAAACTTTATACAAAGTTGATTTTAATATAGTTCATGTAATCTAACAAATCAAAAATATCAAATATAATTTTATCCTATAATCAATGTAAAAAAGAATCAACTTACATTTATCAAATTTAACAATTAAATTACACAATTAAACCTACCACAGCCCTGTCCTGAACTGTCAACTTTTGAATGCAGGGAATTACAAATCATGTATCTTTGGATGCCACACAGAGCAATCACAGTACTTTACTCATGGCAAGTACTTTACTTCATTAATACTAATTAAGGACCACTAAAAATAATTTTATTAGCACCTTTTCTGTGCCAATGTAAACACTAGAAAAAGTGTCCTCCCCATCAGGTCACCATTGCCTTAAGCCTTCTCTTTATATACTTAACCCTTCGTACTCCGATATCCCCAATGAGGGGACATCGTAAATCTAGCAAACCACTCAGATGTCCCCTCTGAGGGGACATAAAGAGATTGTTGGACAAACTAATGCAAGCATTACAATACAGGACAAACTAATGCAAGCACAAAATTTTTCAAAAATGTATGTTTCCTTGAAGTTTTCCATTCAAATTGCATGGAAAAGCAAATAAAGAAATGGAATATATACTGTAAAAAAATATCAACTGACGTCATGTAGAAAGAAAATGTGTGAAGTGCTTTCAGAGTGGTGCCAACACTTCTCTGTAACAGAAGATAGCAATAAAGAGCATTTGTATAAGAAAGGCAGCTGTGGATATACCCTTTGTATCACATGGCATAACTTGAAAAGACAAGCAAGTTACTGTTAGAAGTTGAAAGCAGACTGTATTGAAGGATCAATCAGTTGAGAAGTGGTTTTCAGGAATCACTGGTGAGTGCGGAGTCAGTGCATCCTTCCACATTGTCTTCAAGGAGCAGCAGACTGGACAATAAGTTACATATTACTAATGTGGGAGGAAGAAAACAAAACTGCATTGTCAGCAGGGCTCGGTGGCTAAGCCTGTAATCCCAGAACTTTGGGAGGCCGAGGCAAATGGATTGCCTGAGCCCACAGGTTCAAGATCAGTTTGGGTAACTTGGCGAGACCTCATATCTACAATAAAATAAAATTTAAAAATAGCCGGGCGTGGTAGCACGTGTCTGTAGTTCCGGATACTTGGAAGGGTGAGATGGAAGGATCACTGGAGCCCAGAAAGTTGATGCTGGGGTGGCCGTGAGCATGCGTGCCACTGCACTCCAGCCTGGGCAAAGGAGTGGGACGCCAACTCAAAAAAAAAAAAAAAAAAAAGACTGCATTGTCTGCAGTCTTCGAACAGAAAAAACCAGGTGGAAGATGAAGACAAATTACTATTGCACAACATGTGTCAATGACCCAGTAAGGTATGTCAATGACTGTTTCACACATTACTACATGTTAGAGAAATATAAGATATAAAATTTTGATTTTTTTGTCATAAATAAGTTCCTCAATGTCCAAAATCCCCTTATAAGCCAAATATCATTACAATAAAATAATTGGTTCCAATGCTATACTATTTAATATGAAGTGATTCATGTTTCACTATTTCATAAAAAAGTGTGGTAGAGTTGCTGGTAGGTGATCCGTGAGACGTCTCTGAGTGCAAAGGGTTAATTTTCACTGGCCTCCATATCCTCCCCTAGCCTAGCTCACCTGAACCTCATAACAACTGTTTTGCTGGACTCCAGGGCCTTATTTCCACCTACCTTCTACATATCACCATTTACACGACCTGAAGACAACCTAAACATAACTGATCTCAGAATCTTTCTCTGGCTAGTTGCAGTGGCTCATGCCTGCAATTCCAGGACTCTGGGAAAGCAAGAGGACTCTTTAGCCCATGAGATTGAGACCAGCATAGGCAACATAGTGGTACCTCATTACCACAAAAAAAATTTTTTAAAAATCTTTCTCTAATTCTTCCTATATTTCTCTTTTGATAGTAAACAGCTAACAAGAACTTTATACACATTATCCCATTTAATCCTCACAACAACCCTATGTATACTATCAATCCTCTATTTCAAGTAGGATTTAAAGGCATAGTAACTTGCTCAAGATCACAAAATTACTAAGTGGAGATGCACACACTGGCTGGCATGTTTGACTCTAAAGGCCATGCCCTTGAACACTTTCCACCCAAGCACACAAAGTAAAATTAGAAACCCTGAAGTCATCCTAGAAATTCTACTTACTCTCTACATCCTGCTACCCAGTCCTATCTATCCTACCTCCTAAATATTTCCCAAACTAGTCCTTTCCTTTTTGTATTACCTCCTTTCAGCTTTCTCCCCTAAAATATTACAATACCTACCTGACTGGTATTTTGACTCAACTTTCAACCACCTAGAGTTTCTCCTATGATTTAAATTTCATCATGTTGCCACCCTAATTACAATTTTTGTAAAGGCTTCCAACTGCTAACCAGATTAAGGCCAAATCCCTTCATGACCGGATTTCCACCTACCCTTCTATTCTCACCTCATCATTGCCCAAATGTGCACTGAACCAGTCTCTTTTAACATGGTGGCACTTGCTCCTTCCTTAGCTCATACAATTTCCTCTCTCTATACTGACTTCTAACCATCCTTCCAGATTAGTTCCGTATCACCTCGTAAAGAAAGTCTTTCTTCCCTGCTCTAGCCTTCTGCCCTTCACCCACCAACACATCAGACATTCCTTTCTCTGTATTCCCATAGCACATTTTCCTTATTTCTAATCCAAAACTCATCACTGGTATTCTATTTGTCCCTTCTTCCTGACTCAGAGTTCGCAGAGAACAGGCATTTTGTATTAATTACACACCCCTAGCATAACTCCATAAGCATTCTACTTATGTGTACCAAATGACCTCTTCTGAAAAAGTGGAAGGTTTGATATCAGGCTCACAAGTCACAGCATAGAACGTCTGAAAATGTCAGGATAGTCAGTCAGTTTTGCTGAGAGGGATATGAAACACTTCTGAAACAGCACTGATGACTGAGGAAGTCAGTTAAGGACAACAAATGTACCTTAAAAAGTAGAGATCAGAGAACTCACAGGCATTACTTTGGGAGAACACAGAGAAAAAATTTAAAGAACAAAATAAATCTAAACTAATTGTTTTCACAGAACCAACATAAATGCAACATATATGGGGCACCCAAAAAACCCCTGGAATTTATTTATAAAAAATTGTGTCTACATTCTTACATGTTTAAACTTCGGTCACCTTCAAAGTACTCTCTGATGCAATACACCTATGGAGATGCTTTTTCCATTGCTAAACACAGGTTCTGAACTCATCCATTCTGATGCCTTTTAGAGCTTCTGCCATTTTTTGTTTCACTTCTTCCACATCAGCAAAACGTTTCCCTTTGAGGACTTTCATCCGGGGAAACAAAAAAATGTCACTCAGGTGAATAGGGAGAGTGGGGCACAGGGGTCATGCCGTTTTTGGTCAAAAACTGCTGAACACTCTACCCGGTGTGGGCAAGTGCAGTTGTAAATCACCCATCAAGAAATGGGAAAACACGTTGAAAGAACCTTCCAAAAAATTCATCGAGGCGGAATGCAGCCTCTCACAACAACGCTAGCTGGTACACTGATGTCAATGGGTTCCTAGAACACGTACCTAGCGGGGAGACCTATGCTACAAAGGACCCGCCCTCCAAAAGACAATTTCGGTTTTTCTTGGGTCCCCCGCCGTATATACACATACGTAGCCAACATTATCTTAAATCAATCTTAAAATTTTGTGGCAAGTTACTTGGGCAGTAAAATCACGAACTTTGTCCACTGCCAAAGTAAAGAATATTAAATTTCAAACACCGTTCAAAAAAAATCTAATCAAGATTTCCCTCTCCTTACTCAAATAAGATCACTTGGTGGTATCCCCATTTCCTCAGGGTGAAACACAGGTGCTTGTCTTTGGCGTATGGAGACACGCAGAACGTCACCAGCAAAAGCTGTGATTAACCAAAGAGTTTACTTGCACTCTTGTATGATGCCACGGCATGCACAACGACAACACCACACCCACACACACCCACACACACCCACGAGCTAGACTTGTCATGGGTTAAATATTCTGCCTGGAAAACAAACGTTAAGTCCTGGAGTCGGTCTGCCTGGGGAATGGGCTGAAACAAGAACAAACCAGACCGCGGACCAGCCCAGCCTTGCCAGGGAGCTCCCCCCACGTGCGCCCGCAGCCCGGCCCCGCCTGCTTCCCGCCCGGGGGAGGCGCCCACCACTGCCCGCGGCGCCCGCGCTCCGACCCCGACGAGTTGAGGGAAGGGAGCCCTCGAGCTTTCAGAAAGGTAATAAATGTCCTAGGCACACGACACTACCTTCGTGCTGGCGCGAGGCAGGCAACCACCATCCACCATGGACAGGCAGCCAGCGGCGCACCCGCAACTCAGGCCGACCCCGCGAGAGCACCGAATCACTCCCGCGCGCCTGAGAAGGAGCGGGCCCCGGCGCTCGGCGCTTAGTCCCGCCCTCTTGGGGGAGCGTGGGATGGACGCTGCTCGCAGCCAATCCGCTGGCAGCGAATTGAGCCGGGCCGGCTTCCGCCTGCCGCGCAGCGCAGGGGCTGGCCACTGGCCTTCCGGGCCTAGGGTACGCCGCAGTCCCCGCCGGGTAGTCCTGCTCCGCACCGGCGGCCGGCAGCAGGGCAGCGGGTAAGTGGGCGCGAGCGTGGGGCTGGCTGTCCTGCTGACCTGGTCGGGCGAGAGCTGCCCGCGGCCCGGGTCGGCCTGAACGCTGAGTGGGCTCCGGCTGCATCCGCGGCGCCCTGCCTGGCCTGGCCGTGCGGGCCGAGGGGTCTCAGAGGCTCGCCCACCTCCCCCGGTCCTCGTGGTTGTTCCGCGGCCCTGAAGGGACGTGTGGCTGCAGGGAGGAAGAGGAGGGTGGGGGCGCCGCGGCGGGGCAGCAGGGTTTGTGCTGAGTGTCCACCCGCCCGGAGCTCCGCTGCCGGGGCGGCCCAGAGGGGGACCTCTCCGGGTCGCCGGCTTCAGACGCCCCGGCAGGGCCGAGCGCGCACCTCTGCGCCGACTGCAAAGTCGTCGTTTGCTGGTCCCTGAGCTGCGACCTGCTAGGAAAGGCTTCTGGTTGGGGTAGGGTCAGTGCCGCCCCGGCTGTGAACAGTACATTCCAGGCCTCTGTCGCACGTTCGTGTTCCCCTCCGGTGGAAAGTGGGATGACTGTCTTGAGTGGTGGCATGTTCCAAGTATAACTTATAGTGAACAGTAATGCGTGCTAGAAGAAATATTTACACATGTGAATTGGAGGCTTTTGCCTTGCCTTCATGTAACTAACTTTCCTACCGTACGTAGCCTTGATGCTTGGTTCATACATCTTTGGAGGGTGAGAGGGACATTATACCCCGGAAACACTTGCTAGACGGGGTTATCAGCAATTACCCTCTATGTGCTAACTCTACAATAGAGAGGATTTGTGTATTCTTAAATCAGCGATGTTCCAAATATAATTGAGTCTCGTCTCCCCCTCCTTCCCCAGCCCCGCTGATGGGTATCTTTCAGGACAGTTTTTTTTTTGTTTATTTGAAGGGATTTTTAGACCCAGTTAAGCATCATTAAAATAACTGGGAATGGGAAGAAAGTTTTAGAGGAGTTGACTAGAGAAATATTCACAAATTGAGAAACAAATATGATCCCTTGACCAAATAAGTTTTACACAAAGTTATGTCCACAGCATGTTCCTCGGAGGTTCAGTATTTGAAAAGAAGTGATCTGAACTTTGACCATTCTTCACGGATACAACATTACATTAAAGAGTCTGGCCACTCAGCAGACTGGCTGGGTCAGTTCTCCTTTTGTTTTTTTAGTTTATTCTGTTGGAAAATTTAGCTCTTGGCTCTTCACTTTGCTGTCATGATATAAGAAAATGGAGGTTTTTCTCTTTCAGTTTGAAATTTTCTATTATTTATTTCATTTAGTAAAACCAACATGCTGGAAGACAAGCTTTAAAAAGGGATTTTAACTATGTATCTTTTCAAAGAGAGTCATAAAAATAAGTCTTATCTTACCATAAAGTCAGATGCTGAGGATTCTTTACTGACCATCCGCATCTGCAAGTAGTGTATTTTGGAAGGTGTGTGTGTTCTATTTCAGCATAACTAGGGGGAGAAAAGTCCTAACACATTTACTCTGTCACGTCAGAATTAGTGATGTTTGGGGTTTATCAGTGTTGATTCATTTATTACTTCCCTACAGAGCAACCATGAATGTTGGAGTTGCGCACAGTGAGGTGAATCCAAATACCCGGGTAATGAACAGCCGGGGTATGTGGCTGACATATGCACTGGGAGTTGGCTTGCTTCATATTGTCTTACTCAGCATTCCCTTCTTCAGTGTTCCTATTGCTTGGACCTTAACAAATATTATACATAATCTGGTAAGAATTTCACTTTATTCTAAACACTTAAAAGCTTTAGGTTTCGTGGTTGCCAGAGGTTAAGAAGGGGGGCAAGGAAGGAGTAGTTATTGTTTAATGGATACAGAGTTTTCAGTTTTGCAAGATCAAAAGAGTTCTGATGGTTGGTAATGGTGATGGCACAAAAATGAATGTACTTAGTACCCCCGAATTTAAAAATGACTGAGATGTAAATTTTGTGATATGTGTATTTAAACATAATTTTTTTAAGTTTAAGGTTTTATGTTATAAAATATACATGACTTAGTTTTTTTAACAGCTTAATTGAGATGTAATTCACATAATATAAAATTCACCCATTTAAAGTGGTTTTTAATATGTTAAGACTTAATTTTCTGGCGGGGCTCAGTGGCTCAGCCTATAATCCCAGCACTTTGGGAAACCAAGGCGAATGGATTGCTTGAGCCCACGGGTTCGATACCAGCCCAGCAACTTGGTGAGACCTTGTTTCTACAATAAATAAAAAATTAGCCAGACATGGTAGCGCACCCCTATAGTTCCAGCTACTTGGAAGGCTGAGGCATAAGGATCACCAGCGCCCAACAGGTTGAAGCTGTAGTAGCCATGAGTGTGTCACTGAACTCCAGCCTGGGCAGCAGAGTGAGACTTCAACTCAAAAAAAAAAAAAAGACTTAATTTTCTAATTCTAATCTGGGATATAATTTTATTTTTTCTATCAGACTTTATTTCAACATTGGACCCTTTTTCTAAGCAAGCATTTTTTTCTCTTGTACAGAATTTAGAAAATAGCGGATCATTTTAGTAAAAAAAATAATTCAGGCCACTATAATATATTGGTTAACAAGATTGCTTCAGAAGTAATTTTGTCTTTTGGTTCACTGGAGTCTAATGAAGATATTTGGTTTCACTCCTTGTTAAGTCTTTCTAAATTGTATAAGTATGTGTTTCTCTTTGACACTAGAAGTTTTGAGTTTAATCATAGCTTATGTGATTCAGAATCTTAGCGTCCTTTAGCGCCTTCCTGTTCAATCACTCTCCTGTATTATTTGATTGACTCTACTGACCATATTGTGCAGCTCTAGAAATTGCCTGTTACAAAGCAAAACAAAATGCACAATAATTCTGATAATGATTTTTCTTGTGTTTAATAGTCTATTAAAGTAGGATGAAAAGTAAGCCGAGAATTTTAATTGGAATCCAGATTAGTTGTATATTTTGTTTAAGATACCCCCAAAAGTGAAGAACCCAAATCCTTAAGACAAAAAAAGTTTAGGAGAAATCAATTTTTAAAAATTAATATTTATTTTATATCTTCTGGAGTGTATTTGAAGTTGACTGGAGGAGGACAAGAATGATGTGATGATGGAAATTATAAATAAATGTTCATTTAGTCCATTTTATGTAAGGACTTTTATAAGGATAAACCATGTTTTTAAGTAGTGACTTCTCTGAAATATTTAACACCAATCATCTTTTTATTAAAACTTCCTTTGGCTTCCAAGGGATCACTTTCAACTAGATATGCATCTGATCTTCTCTTTTCCTTTCTTAAACATTGCTGCTCTCAAAGTTATTTTCTTCATCTCTTTTTATGCATATAGCATCTCTCTTTTTATGCATATAGCATTCTGCCTAGGTTATTTCATCTACCTATATTTTCAGTTTATACCTGTGGAATAATGATGCTTATATTTGTATCACCAGATTACCTCGCACCTTAAACCAAACAAGTATAAATGGAACTTGTTCCTGATCAATCCCTTATCACCCACAATCTGCAATCTGCTCCTCTGACCTCATTTCTAATCTTATCTAAAGACCAAGCCAGACAGCTGAATGTTAATGGTAAAGCAATTGATAGGTGGAGCATCCCTAATCTGAAAACTCAAAATAGGAAATATTCCAAAATTTGAAACTTTTTGAGCACCAACATTATGCCACAAGTGAAAAATTCCATACCTGAGCTCATATGACAGGTCACAATCAAAATGCAGTCACAACTTTGTTTCATGCACACGATTATTTAAGATATTGTATAACATTGTCTGCAGGTGTACATGAAACATCAGTGGATTTCATGTTTGGACTTAGGTCCCTTCCCCAAGATAATCTCATTGTATAAATCCAAATATTCCAAAATCTGAAAAAATTGAAGCTTGAACATTTCTGATCCTTATCTGAAGTGGATACTCAACTTGTAATGTATAGTTCAAACTGAGACTGTTTTGAGAATCAAAGGGAACTCTGGTGATAACCCCAAGAGAACAGGTGTAAATCAAAACCAACCTATGCAAACTAGCATACAGTATGATCTTAGGATAACTTCTCCCTTTCTTTTATACTTCCTGTCCAATTGCTCAAAACACTGTTCTACTGCTTTACTATCAATTTGATCCCAATACCCTCATAATTTTCTCATGTGGATTACTCCAGTAAATCCAATGGTCTTGATGCTCCTCTACTCTACCCTCCTCCAATGAAGCTTGGCAGAGTGATGTTTTTAAAATGCATGTCTGCTCAAGTCATACTCTAAGTCCTTAAATGATTGTCCATTACATTTATGGTAAATTTCAGTTTTCTTGTGTAGCTTATAAGACCAGCTGATAATAGTGCAGAGGCAAGAAACGGACTTCATTTTATCTCAACCATCTCTAAACACAGGCTATGCTCTAGCAGTAAGGAAAATCATCTTGCTCTCCCTTTTTGCTTTGGCTTAAGTACTTCTAGTATTTTAATACCCCTCCCTCCTTCCTGCTCTGCTTGACTAATTCGTATTTGCCCAGCAAACCCACTTAGGTTATCACCTCCTTAGGACTTTACACTACTCCTATGCTGCATTCTTTTATCATGTGTTTGTCATAGCTTTATAATTAGCAGTTTATCTCTTTTATTTTTTAATTTCTGTATCTCTAAAAACCTATTTAAATGTTTGCTGAATAAATTAGAATTTTCTCTTCTCCAATGGCACATGTATTAAGTGTATTTTAGAAGCCCTGCCCTGTCCCCCTTGCCCCCCCCCATTTTCAAATTGGTTGACCGAAATTGAGGCACAGTATATGACCATGGACAAGTGATAGGTAATTGACATCATGTAGGAAAGCAAACTTCTGATTTATTCATTATTAGTTCATCACACTAAAAAGCCTAACTGACCAGCCATAGATGTAGCAATTACATGACTCCAAATTTAAGTTTCCTTTGAAGATAGTCTACATTAAACCCATTAAAAATGTGAAATATATCCGGGCTCGGTGGCTCAGCCTGTAATCCTGCGCCTTTGGGAGGCTGAGGTGAGTGGATTGCCTGAGCCTGTGGGTTCGAGACCCGCCTGGGCAGCGAGACCTCATCTCTACAATAAATCAAAAAATCAGCTGGGCGTGGTAGCACATGCCTGTAATTCCGGCTACTCGGAAGGCTGAGGAGGAAGGGTCGCCAGAGCCCAGCAGGTCGAGGCTGCGGTGGCCGGTAGCGGCCACTGCACTCCAGTCTGGGCGACCGAGTGAGACTCCAACTCAAAAAAAAAAAATGTGAAATACATACCGAATGCTTTTAAATTTAGGAAAATAGACCTAATTGTTATACCTCGTTAGAAAAATATACTGTATTTGCCTCTCTAAACCATGCAGTGGAAACCTTCAGTGATTGTTTTTATTCAGTGCTGTAGTTCACCCTTAGAGGTATTAATGCTTCACATATTTCTTAGCCTAGCTTTAAAATGAATGAGAATTCTCTTCATTTTGATTCAGTAAATATTTATTAAGGACTAGTCATGAGCTATATACTTTTGTTTCCTATTCCTTTTGATATAGGAATAACCATCACTAACATTTCAATATAAAAACAATTTTAAAAATTGAAGTTGAAGATAAATGGTCAGATAAGATTTTATTCTTTCACTGAAAAGTATATAAAATAAACTGTTTAAATGTCATATTCCTATTTTTTTTTTTTTTGAGTCGGAGTCTCACTCTGTCACCCAGGTTGGAGTGCAGTGGTATGCTCACGGCCACCACAGCCTGGACCTGCTGGGCTCAGAGGATCCTCCGCCTCAGCCGTCCAAGTAGCTGGAACTACACGTGCTACCACACCCAGCTAGTCTTTTTATTTTTATTGTAGAGATGAGGCCTTGCCCAGGGTGGTCTCGAACCCATGGGCTCAGGCAATCCTCTCATCTCAGCCTCCAAAAGTGCTGGGATTATAGGCGTGAGCCACTGCCCCTGGCGAATATTATATTCTTAAGTAAGTACATGTGGTCTGAAGGATATCATGAGAGGATTGTTTTCTTAGATTCTGAATCATATGTAGTCTAGAATAGTGGCTTAACTATTTTTGGGTCATGTATTCCTGATAATTTGAAAACATACACTTACAAATAAAATAAAAAGAAAACATACATTTTCTATTTCATAGTTCCCTTATGGCCCATGTGAAAATGGTTTCCTAGTGACTACAACTCTCCTTAGATTAATGTTGCCTTCCAATAGCTCTGTACCAGCCCTTATTCCTGGGTAGTCAGGCTAATGGAAAAACAAACATGCCAACAACTTCAGCACAATATATTGCACTATAAATGGTGTTTTTAAAAAAATTGCATGCAACCACATAAACAGGAGGTTAATTACTAATGAGGAGAGTTTCATTAAAGAATTGTCGTTTGAGCTGAGCCTTCAAGAGTGAGGTAGCATTAAGACTTTTGCCCCAGAAACAAGGAACCTTTCTCTTCTCTGATTTTGGTAAGTACTCTAATTGTACCTTTGACTGCAGTTTCTCTCCTACTTCCTAGCTATTTAGGCATATCTTTTTTTCTTGCCATCTGAATTTTTTTAAGGCTGAGTACGTCTCTTATTCAGTTTCATATCTGCATATGTGTTCTGTGTCGAGAACATATAAGCCACTTATTAAAAGTTTGGTGAGATAAATACAATGGAACATGAGTCCTTTTCTCCATAGCTTAGGTATTATTGTAGCTAAACAACTTGAATTGCCTATTGGAATAACTAGGAAGTAGACTAAGCTTTGATATTAACCTAGTATAATATAAAATTTCAAAAATTTTTATTTTTTCTATATATTAAAAGTTGAAGCTGGGGGCAGTGGCTCACGCTTATAATCCCAGCACTTTCAGAGGCGGAGGTAAGATGATTGCCTGAGAGCAGGGGCTCGAGACCCACCTGGGCAACTTCGTGAGACCTCGTCTCTACAATAAATCAAAAAATTAGCCAGGTGTGTTGGCACACACCTGTAGTTCCAACTACTTGGAAGGTTGAGGCGTAAGGATCACCTGAGCCCAGCAGGTTGAGGCTATGGTGGTCATGAGTGTGCCACTGCACCCCAGCCTGGGCAACAGAGTGAGATTCCAACTCAAAGAAAAAAAAAGTTGAGGTAGAAAACATCATTGTTTCCTAAGGGAAAAAGTGTTTCATTATAATATTTATGCTTTATGCTGTTCTCCGTGCCTCAAGCAGTGATTCTGAATGAAATACTGTCAATCTAAGTGGACATCATAATCTCAAGGAAACTAAATCTAGTGTATATTGTTTTTTTCCTAACTTAACCACAAAATTAGGTGTTTAAACATACTGCCTGACAGAGTGGCTTTTAGTGACGTTTTCTACTTTGATTTTTAAAAGCTGACTTCAAAAGAAACACTGTGGAAGCACAATGGTGGTTTTAAAAGGGAATTGAGTTAAACATTGTACCTATTATGTCAAACCATCTTTGTTACTTTGGAAGAGTTATTAAAGTAAAGGCAGGCCTCATATTAAATATTTTAAAACCATCGTCCCTAATAAAGAGATTTTATTTATTTTGTTTTTTTAAACCAATTTGTATATCTTTCTCATTTTAAATCTAAATGTAATGATGCGTAGCTGTTCTCGTGATACTTTTTATTTATACATTTTAATGAAAAAAGTGAAAACAAGTTACTTTTGGTTGATCTTTTATTGATTTTCACCAAATAATAGATCCCAGAAAGCTTTATTTTACCATAAAGAAACTAGCTACAGCCTTTCACTAACATACGAAAATTTAAAACTTGAGCTGTTTAAGTTAAACCACACATACTGTCACAAACAGCCAAGAACTATTTTAATGCTTACTGACAAATTTTATATTTAATATTGATTATATACCCCCTTGCTTGTTTTCTAGGGGATGTATGTATTTTTGCATGCAGTAAAAGGAACACCTTTTGAAACTCCTGACCAGGGTAAAGCAAGGCTTCTAACACATTGGGAACAACTGGACTATGGAGTACAGTTTACATCTTCACGGAAATTTTTCACAATTTCTCCAATAATTCTGTAAGTAACAGAAATTTTTCACTATGAGGAGGATTGAATAAGCAAAAGATGTCCTTTTATCAGACTGAATTGGCATTAGAGTATTTTGTTGAAAACTTCTATCAATAAGTAGCTGCCTCAGATAGACTATAAAGTACAAGCAAATTTTTAAACAAGTTGATAATAAACCAGTTTTCATTTCAGTCCGTACTCTTAAGGACAGCATTGCATGCTCATCAGTATGCCTAGATATCCTAGGATAAGCAAGTAAAATATATTTCAGCTCCTGTTCTTAAATTTCTTAGGGAAAAACTAGACACATAATCATATTCTATATTGCACTATCCGATTAATCTCTCTAAACAATGATTTGGTGAGAACAGTTTCATTGGCCACCCAACCTATTTGGATGTTCAAGCTCCTTGGGAGAGAGTATAGTTTTAAAAAAAAAAAAAAAGCCAGGCTTCATTATAGGACAGACCTGAGCTGAATCCTGTATATATCGCTCAGCCAGCTTGATTTGCTTATATATAGAATTCTAGCTAATGATACCTAACTCAGTCTTGATGCTGTATGAAAATAAGACAATAATATCTGTCTGTACAACATCTAACCTTGCATCTGGTATCTAATTTCTTCCCATTACCTCATATTCAGGGCCGTCCAGAAAATGATTCCTACCTCATATTCTGTTTATATCAATATTTTATCCCTACCCAACTTCCACCTGGTCCAACTCTGCTAAACAGCATTTCTTGAATATTTCATGTAGTCTTATTTCTATGTCTTTGCTTAAATTATATCTCCTATATGAAATACCTCCAATATTTTTTCCAGCTTTATTGAGGTATAATTGACAAAAATAGTATGTAATGTTTCTCCAAAGAATTTACAAGTGCATAGATTACTTTGAATCCCATACTCAGTATAGTGAACTGCACATAATAGATGTATTTCAAATCTTAATCAACACACAGTACCATATACCTCACACATACTAAGTCCATGATAGAATCACTGTGGCCTGGAGTCTCAGAAAAGACTTCTTGGAGGTGTTGGAATTCTTTAAGCTGGAACTTTAGGAAGAATAGGTTTGGATAGATGTTTAAGTAAGGAAAGGCATTTTCAAGTGAAATCAATAAACTGATCCTAAGATATAGGCTTCTTTCTCCTTATATGTGTAGCACTTTGAGGAAATTTTGAATTGGCTTGGTCCCAAATAAAATTAACCTCAAAGAAAAATGTGTGGTCTAACAAAAATAAATGCAATAATAAAGATATTGATTATTCAGATGGCCTTAAGTTTTTTATTTTGACTTAGCTACTTGCTTTTTTTGTTTTGTTTTGTTTTGAGTTAGAGTCTCACTCTGTCACCCAGGCTAGAGTACAGTGCCACCCCGCCCCTCCAGTGTCAACCTGCTGGGCTCTGGCCATCTTTCCACCTCAGCCTTCCAAGTAGCCGGAACTACAAGCGCATGCCACCACACCCGGCTAATTTTTTGTTTTATTGTAGAGACAAGGTCTCGCTAAGTTGCCCAGGCTGGTCTCGAACCTACAGGATCAGGCAATTCATTTGCCTCAGCCTCCCAAAGTGCTGGAATTATAGGCTGAGCCATTGAGCCCAGCCAGTTTAGCTACTTTTAAACTCCCTGACTGATGGCTATTTTCTTGAAAGCCTCAGATTTCTCATCTGTAAAATGTTGAGGATTGAATTATAACGCATGTAAAAAAAAGCCTGACATATTCTGAATTTCTAATAAGAGCTATCACAAAAAAGGACAACTAAGATGTACTGTGTACATATCCATATTTCTCAAAATATATTTTTGACCAGCAGGTATGATTTCAAATATTCTGGATAAGTTTCTTATTTAAGTGAAGAAACAGCATGTACAGCATTGATACTTTTCAATGTGCTTTCACATTTTCTTATTTGATCATCATTTGTCAGATAGGTGTGACATGGATTGTTACTAGATTTGTAGATAAACAGACTCAAATGCATTACCTTTCTCAAAATTCTGCAGCTAGTTGAAGTCAAGAGCCTAGGTTAAACCCTAGACTTCTATCTTCTAGTATAGATCTTTTTCCAGTATACCCATTGGCAAATAAATGCTATCACACTGCTTCACATCTGGGTTTTTTATACCATTCGCAGGTTGTCTTAAATTTTTGAAAGCATCAAGTAATTTTCATATAATCTACACAAAACTAGTTTTCACTAATAAAAAGGGTACGTATGCTATGATACAGTAAAGGGAACCCATCCTAAGATTTATTATTTCCAACCTATTAAATAATAGATTAAATCCATAATAGCTGGGTGCAGTGGCTCACAACTGTAATCCCAGCACTTTGGGGGACAGAGGCAAGAGGATCGCCTGAACCCATGGGTTTGAGACTAGCCTTGACAACATGGCAAGACCTCATCTCTACAATAAATCATAAAAAACTAGCTGGCCATTGTAGCACATGCCTGTAGTTCCACCTGCTTGGAAGGCTGAGGTAAAAGGATCACCTGAGCCCAGCAGGTTGAGGCTGTGGTGGCTGTGAGCTTGCCACTGCATTCCAGCCTGGGCGACAGAGTGAGACTCTGACTGAAAACCAAAAAATAAAATAAAAACCCCTAATGATGATAGGAAACCAAATGAGCTTATTAAATGCAAGTGACATCCTATTTTGTTCAGTAAAGGAAGTATAAAAACAGTCTTCAAGTATATGGAAACAGGAAGAACAGATTTAAAGATTGAGGAATATGGTTCACTCTAAAGAATTTTCTAAATGTAGTTTGTAAAATAGGCGGAAGACTATAGCATTTCTCAATCCAGATGGTTCTGAAAATAATGTATACAATTCTCTATGATGTTTCTAGTCCACTGGAAGTAGCTGTTCTTTTCTAACTATATTTTATAAAGTATTTATCTCCCCTATGAGAAAGTAATGACAGTAGTTACAGAAAAGATTATTAGAATGTTTTCCTTATGTACTGTAAAAGTATTTAAACAAACACCTAACTTTTCAGTTATGATCAATTAAGGTCTGATGTTTTATTCTTTACATCTTACCTATGGTAGGATATTCTTTTAGTAACCAGATGATGTGTCTGCATTTTAAAATAACCCTAGGGTGAAACTAGACATTCTGGACTCAGTGATCTATGGTTTTAAAGGTGCTTTAGGCTTGTTAAAACAAATTCTCAGATGTTGGATATATGAATACATACATGCATTTGGTTATAACAAAACAGCTAGAATTTTACAACAGTGTCTTTCAAGTTACCAGTTAAACTGGTTATATACCTGTTCAACTACAGTATATAAATTAGTACATCCAAAGGGCAACCAAGTATTTGTTTCTTTCAAAGATATGAACTGTATTAATACATTAAAACCCCATTTTTCAAAACCTTATAGTAGTAGTTCTTGACTTTGGCTCACAAAACCTTTTGAGAATAAGATAGATGCTTTAGATCCGAATCTTCTCTTCAGAAACATACATGGAAATACAAAACTATACCTGATATTTCAGAAGGCATATAAACCCTAGTTTGAAAGCATTCTGCTTTAAAGGATGCTAAGTAGCAATGTATTCTGTTAAATGCATTTAATATAGTTACAGAAATGCAAATGTGCACCTCTATTAAAAAGATGATGTTTAAAAAAAATGTAAAATCCCAAGTCATATAAACTTGGGGCCAAACTAAAATGTTTCCTTTTAATTTTAGCACTCAAAAAATAATTTTACTTTTAGGTATTAGTGGTTCAGTGACTTTTTGCTCCACCTTTTAAAATTCTTTTTTTTTTTTTTTGAGTCTGAGTCTCACTCTGTTACCTAGGCTGGAGTGCAGTGGGTCTCACGGCCACCGCAGCCTCAACCTGCTGGGTTCAGGCAATCCTTCCACCTCAGTCTAACAAGTAGCTGGAACTACAGCCATGTGCCACAACGCCCAACTAATCTTTTGATGTATTGTAGAGACGAGGTCTCGCCAAGTTGACCAGACTGGTCTCGAACCTGTGGGCTCAGGCACTCCTCTTACCTCAGCCTCCCAAAGTGCTGGGATTATAGGTGTGAACCACCATGCCCAGCCTAAATTTTTTAAATTCTAAGTAATTTTATTTTTTGACGTTATATGTGTTCTTTTATCTCTACAGATATTTTCTGGCAAGTTTCTATACGAAGTATGATCCTACTCACTTCATCCTAAACACAGCTTCTCTCCTGAGTGTGCTAATTCCCAAAATGCCACAACTACATGGTGTTCGGATCTTTGGAATTAATAAGTATTGAAATGTTTTGAAATGGAACAAAAATCTTTAAAGCTACTGAATTTCCTATAAGGAAGGAGTAGTTAATAAGCTGCACTGTTTCTGTGATAATGTAAAATAGGAAGTATTTACATTGGAGAGCCAGTTGTTGCTGGTTCCTCAGATGCTGTTTTGAAGTGCAGATTGCTATTAAATGATGCCTCTGTTTAATGCATCTGGTATACTTCTGAGGAGAGACTTTATAAGCAGGCTGGGCAGGCCCAGCTTTTAAGCTAAACGGCAACACAGTGATGGTGTAGTAAATAAATCCAAGGAAGTAAGAGAGTTGTAAGAAACTAGGAAAACTAGGACCAGCTTAACTTATAATGAATGGGCATTACATTAGGAAAAGAAAACTTCCAATCATTTAGTCATGGTTAGTAAAAGCAACATGTCAACCAGAATCATCTCTTTACAAGTTTATTAAAGATTGTTTTTATTAGCCTACATATTTCTCTTGTTTTATATCAGAGGGTATATACCCTTTTGTTTTATACAAGCCAGTTCCTACTTATGAGTGTAATTTTTTGACTTTGCTGGCTCGATATTATGTATTGATAGATGAGGTCATTTTTACATGTATTACATTACAGAGGTCATGAAGGCCCACCTTCATGACTGATTGGTGATAGAAGATAAAGATGTCTTACAAGTAGCCTCTGAGCCAGTGTTCTAATTTTGGAACAAAGTGGATTTTACCGCTTTTCCAGACACAGGGCTGCTAAGCCAATTAAGAAAATAATTTATTTCAAGCAGCTAAAGTGTATGGTAATTTAAAGGTCTGCTTATTTGGTTGAACAATTTAATTGGTAAAATCTTGACATTCTTTAGAAAAGGAAATACAAAAGGGACAACTGTATAGCCAACCTGTGGTCTGGCAGAAACTGCTTCTTTAACAATAGTACAAAGGAAGTAATGGAGTCTTTTTTAGCAGATCTGCAGTAAAAGATAACATTGTCTTTTCTTAATACTGCTTCCAACCCCCATACTTTGCCCACTAATATTTTGCCTTTAAATTTGTGACTCTTAGTATAGATAGTTCAAAATGGTAACTATTTACAGGATAGCAACCATATTGAATTATTGTTACTTAGGAAATCTTTCTATAGTTGCATTAATTGCAAGAAATAACTATTTACAACTTTGAGAAGAAAAAATGAAGTTCTGTTACGGGATGAAATCGAAAAATTTAGTAACATTTATAAATAAAATTGATTAAAAAGAGTTACAGACCAACTTAAAAATCAATTTGTGTCAATAAACTGACTTTGGAGGGTAATGATCATTGTTTTGTATTTCAAAAATATTGAGTTTAGAAATCAGTTGTATGATACGGCCTTTGTATTTGTCTTTTCCCATGTACTTTTAAATACCAGTGATCTGTACTTTAATAAAATTTTTCCTTGGTGTAAAACTATTTCAGAAGCTCTCCAAATTCAGTCATCAGAATTACACTGACATTTTTCAAGTTTATTTTTAAGCAACTGAATTTGTAAAATTAAGGTAACAAAAAATATTTCCTTATTTTTCTTCGGTTTCTTCATTCAGTATAATTATCTCAAAAGACTTACATTTTTGCGTGTACTTCAGAGATAGAAGTGTGCCTCTCATGCAGGCTTTCTTTTCTATTTTCCCTTCTTTCTTCTTTCAGTGTTTAAAAAATAATTTACTCAATAGGTATTTGAGGGCCCACTTTGTTTTAGGTATTTTATGTGTTAAAGATAGTTTGTAAATAAGACATATCAACTCCCTTCCCTTAGATGCTCACATTCTAGATAATAAATGAGTAAACAAATACATGTTATTTCATGTAGTGATAAATGCTGTGGAAAAATAAAAACTCAGCAGGTGACAAGCAGGCAGACTTGCCTCAGAAAGGCATTCCCTGAAGCTCCCATGTGAAGTAACCTGGGACACAGACCTAGATATTAAGGAGCAGGTAGTATGGCGATCTGGGAAACAGCATTCCTGGGAAAGCTATGGCATATTTTGAGGCTCGGGCAGGAGTGAGGAGCATGTTTGAGGAAGAAAAAGCCACTGAGTCTAGAAAGGAGGAAACAGGAGAATGGTAGCAAATGAGTTCTGAGTAGTAAATAGGGGCCAGATCTTTAAGGGGTTTATAGAGCAAGGTAATGAGCAGATCTTATTCTAAGTGTGACAACTCCATTGGAGAGTTGTGGACAGGAGATTAAAGGGATCTAATTTTTTTAAGGTCACTAATGCATATTGAGAATAAGTTATAAGGGAATAGAAAGTAGGAAGAGCAGTTAGGAAGCTCCCGCAGGCAGAAAATAGCTCAAAGTAGGGAGGTAGATGAAGTGGTGAGAAGTGATCAGAATTGGGATATATTTTGCAAGTACAGCTCACAAGACATTGATGTGTTGAGTGGAATGAGAGAAGGGAATTTGGAACAAAATCAGCTACCATGCCATTATTGCCCTAACTTCAAGTCAGGAGACATAATGGCAATTTCTAAGCAGTTGTGAGCTCAAAAATGTCACTAATTTTAGCAATCATCAGTGAGTCTTTTCCCTTTAATCTCCTGTCCACAACTCTCCAATGGTGTTGCCACACTTAGAATAAGATCTGCTCATTACCTTGCTCTATAAACCCCTTAAAGATCTGGCCCCTATCTACTACTCAGACCTCATTTGCTACCATTCTCCTGTTTCTTCCCTTCTAGACTCAGTGGCTTTTTTTTAGCAGTGGGTCTTTCCTGCAGCAAATATTAGTGTGGAATTTTAATGATGATTTTCTATTTCCCTCATTCCTTCTACATTTATCAGACTCTTCAGTAGGGAAGATTTGTCCTTTCTGCCCCATTGCTTATTCAATCATTTATATTATGGACTCATGGATATTTTGCTTTTTGGGTTATAATCTGTTAAGATTTCATTTGTTGCTCAAATTGTCCTCTTCTTTTTGACCACTGGGAATGCTTCCAAGTTGGCTCCCGTGTCCCTTTGACCAGCCCCCCCTTTTTTTCCTTTTGCTTTTTTGGGTTAATGGTATTATTGTATACTGAACTATAAAAATCTTAAGGTGCAAAACACAGTCTCTTTGATATCTATGTGAATTAGCTTTACAGAGCTATGTAATGCTAAGAGTGAAAAGCTCACAGAAACCATGCAATTCAACCCCCTACCTTCATTAATCACCACCCTTCCATTTGGTTCTGTTTTAATACTAACAGAAAAGAACTTACAACTTAAGAAACCGCATATTCCATTTTTGTAGTGGGATTTACAACTTATGTTGAGTTAAAATCTAGTCTTTATTCTATATAACTTAAATTATTTAAAAACACCTTTTAAATTGATTGTTAACAGCATTATATAAACATTACTGGAGCCCTCACCATATGATATGGTTTCAAATTTCTCCCACTCTTATGGCAATTCTAAATTCCAGTTTATTATTTGTTATATAGCACTAGAATTAAATACAAGAGGTGATAAGATGTGCTATGACTAGCTAGAACACCACCACTTCCCTTGTACTGGATGCTTTTTAAAAAAAAAATTGCAGCCTAATATCACTTTAGCTATTCTGACAACCACATATCACTGATTCTCTTTATGGTCACTAAAACCTCAAGTCTTGAATATGTGGGCTTTTACCCTTCACAACATTTTTAAGTGGATTTATTAAACCAAAGCCTAAGACTTCTTATTTTTCTTACTGAACCCCATCTTGTTAGACTTTGGCCTGTTGATTCATCTTGTCTGGCTAGAGTCGAATCCTGATTGTTATGTAAGATGTTTCTCCTATATTATGTCTTCTGTATTAATATCTGTCACCAGTAACCCCAAAATACCCTCATGCTAGTCATGAAGAAGACATGCAGCAACCCAGTATAGACCAGTACAGTTTAACAGTCTTTCTAACAGGATAGATAGAAAAAAGTCATCCCCAAACAGTAACATGCTAGTACATGTTGATACAGAAAATAAATAGTAGAAGACAGGCCTAGGTAAAATACCTAAAAGGGAGTTTGGAGTAGTGCTAGACAGAGAAGGGGAAGATAGGAGAATAGCATAGATAAATTCTCTATTTTGTTTGGTGTCAAAAAGAAAATAAGGTGTCTCAAATTCTTGACTCCCTAATTTCATTTCCAGTTAAAATGATTCAGTGATTCAGCAAGTATTTTGTTATATGGGGTTTAAAGTTTTTCATATAGCTACAAATAAATGCATGAGAATTATAAACATCAAATTCAAAACACAATATCTCAAATATACAGGGCACAGGGTATTCTTTATACTTTTTAATATGAAGTATTTCATAATTAGAAAAATAGAATATATGGATTTCATGTTCAGCATAATAGTATTTATTTTGTTTCTTGACTAATTCAAGCCTTTGATGATAATACAGCTCTAAAAGTTCTAAATCTTAGTTTAGCAGACAAGCAAAGTTGGTCACTGTCCTTTCACTTTGACTGCATAAGTACATGTTGATAGAACAATCTCAAATACAAAGACTATAATACAGAAGTAAACTACATTGCTGGGCACGGTGGCTCAAGCCTATAATCACAGCACTTTGGGAGGCCGAAGTGAGAGGATTGCCTGAGCCCAGGGATTCAAGACCAGCATGGGCAACTTGGTGAGACCTCATCTCTACCGTAAATCAAAAACTTAGCTGGGCATGGTGGTGTGTGCCTGTAGTCCCAGCTACTTGGAAGGCTGAGACGGAAGGATCACCTGAGCCCAGCAGGTCAAGGCTCTGGTGGCCATGAGCATGCTACTGCACTCCAGCCTGGGTGACAGAGTGAGACTCCAACTCAAAAAAAAAAAAAAAGAAACTACATCATTAACACTATAAAATTAACTATTTTAAAAATATAAAATATGAATGGAATTTTATATAAGTTGTCTAATGACTTTCCCATTATGCAATTATAAATTTTTATAGACAATCCTATTTTTAAAAACTTGCAGATTTTTCAAATATTCTATACTTATGTTGACAAGTAGATAAACGTGCATTATTAAGAAGATAAACGAGCATTATTTTCTTCATTTTATAATTTTTAAAATGGAAGCAAACCACATGATTTATTGGTTATTGTCTGGGAAAATATGGAGATCCTTTGAAACATTTGTTCCTCCTATGAAATCTCATCAAACTATATGCTTCTCTCATAGCATTTAGCAGTCATAGGGAACGTGGGAACAACAGAGATTCAACCTCTCCCCGCCAAAACCACACACACAGACCCCCCCCTCCACATACAAATGAAATAGATCTGCTGAGTATGGAGATGCCTCAGAAATTAAAATTACCATATGATCTAGTAATTTCAATTCTGAGTATATATTTGGGAGTGAAAAAAAAAACTTGGACAGATGTGCAGACCCATGTTCACAACAGCATTATTCACAATAGCCAGAAGGTAGAAGCAACCCAAGTGCCAATCAAGGAATGAATGGTAAACAAAATATGGTATTACACATAATGGAATATTATCCAACATTAAAAAGGAAGGAAATTCTCATACATGTTACAGCATGGATAAATCCTGAAGACATTGTGATATGCTAAATAAGGCAATCGCAAAATGACAAATATTGTATGACCCCACTTTTATTTATGAAGTGAGATGGAGGTTTCTTGTCTAATGGGTACAGAATTTCAAAATTTGGGAAGATTAAGTTCTGGAGCTAGGTTGCACACTGATGTGAATGTACTTAGTGCCTTTGAACTTAAAAATGGTTAAAATGAGCCGGGCTCGGTAGCTCAGCCTGTAATCCTGCGCCTTTGGGAGGCTGAGGTGAGTGGATTGCCTGAGCCCGCGGGTTCGAGACCCGCCTGGGCAACTTGGTGAGACCTCATCTCTACAATAAATCAAAAAATCAGCCGGGCGTGGTAGCTCATACCTGTAATTCCGGCTACTCGGAAGGCTGAGGCGGAAGGATCGCTGGAGCCCAGTGGGTTGAGGCTGCGGTGCCCGG